CACACTACCATCATTATCCTCAAAGGAGCAGTAGGAATGAAATGGAAAATTAAGAGAAGCACACAGCCAGGATTGGAATGAGCAGTGACCAAGCAATCTGAGAACACACTTTTTTTTTTTTTTTTTAGGAAAAGCAGGTTGTCTCCTATGGCAACCACAAAGTAGTACAAGAATGAGAGGAGGGTGATAGAGCAGGAAAGATAAGTTGGGGCCAACTTTTAGGGTCTGCAACAGGTAGGATGACTTCACCAGCATGGAATACAAAATTCAACTCAAAATGACCTTACAAAGGAGATACAGGATCTCATGCAATAAAGTCCAAAGGTAGCACAGCTCCAGAGTTGGCCAGTTCTGTCCTCAACAACATCATCAAGTGTCCGGAAGTGTTTCACCTTTCTGCTATCCGTCTGCAGCTGGTGATCCACGTGGTTACAGACAGCAACAGCATCACATCCTCACGCACCAGCCTCCAGAGACACAGGAGAGAAGCCTGCTTTTTGTCCCTTCTCTGTCTTTTCCTGCAGTAGCACTTTTTTTTTTTTTTGGTAACAGCTTTATTGTGATACAATTCAAGCCCCATACAATTTAAGATGTTCAATTCAGTGGTTATTAGTATATTCCAGAATTGTGAACCATCACCACAATCAGTTTTAGGTCATTTCCATCACCTAAACAAATAAACAAAAAACAAAAACAAAATTCATACCCTTTAGCTGTCACCTCCAAATCCCTTTTCACGGCTCCTCCCTTGCTCCTAGCCCTAAGCAACCACTAACCTACCTATGTCTCTCTATATTTCCCTATTTTGGACATGTCATATAAATGGAATCATCTAAATCTATAGTTTTTTGGTGGCTGGCTTCTTCCACTTACATATTTTCAAGGTTTATCCATGTTGTAGCATCAGTACTTCATTCTTATTTATAGCTGGATTAATATTCCATTGTATATTGTATATATTGTATATATTCCATTGATGTACCATGTTTTGTCCATTCATCTGTTG